TCCAGCGGTACAACAGTGCTTTCAGATGGATCCCTTCATACCTGCTGCGAAATCCAGACACGTTTAGGTGACTTGGCCAAAGTGTCCAAACTAGTAAAACAGTGACTTGAGGTTCAGAATCTAGTTTTCTGTGTTTTTTCTTAGTGTATTCTGTATGTCTGTTAATTACATCCTATAGAGACATTGTCTCCAACTTTACCATCTAAGCCTGAAGGAATCCAAATCCTGTCCAATTGCGGACGAGCACATTTGAACCCATCAGACCTTTCCTCTCCCCCAAATTTCCAAATAATAATGCTTTTGTCACCTATTTTACTTACTCACAGGTATCAGCCCTACTTAGGAGAGCGCAGATTTTCCAATTTGAAAAAAAGGATATAAGAAAAAAAAAGACTACTGATCTGGAAATTTTCTGAAACAATTGAGAAGTTGGCAGAAGCTTTAAAATGGAGGTTTTACTGATTATAATTAATTTGGGCTGAAAGATTTTAATTAGGACATTACTCTTCTTTGTAAGATAGATTTTTAATACTGTTCAGCATAGATGTACAGCAGGAGAACTAGTAGTTATTTATACTCTATTTCCAAATTAAGCCAAATAATCGAATTTTTGAAAAATGGATGACATGAAGGATTCCATAAATAATATGGAAACAATGGGTAGGAAATATTCAAAGGCATTAAGATTAAGTTTTATTGCCGCAACGTCTAACTGATCCAGACAGACATAAGCATGTGTCACACGTGCTTTTCATCATGTTTCACATAGTTGGTGTGAAGAGTTTTTCTGCATTAACTAGGTAGTGCCGACCCACTTCAGATACCTGATGGAATTTTTTAACCTACGTTTCATGAAAAATGGGTAAATAAAAGGACTTAAAGGAGGAGGACTGAACTTATTTTGAGGAATTATAATGAAATACAACTTATACATAATTCCATACTACATATGTATCAAAAATACACAGTTGGGGGGAGGTGCACACACACACATTGCATGCTAAGAAAGCCATAGGTAAGAAAATGCTCTCTACTTTTGCTTAAATTAAATTAATATCTTTTTTCATTTTCTAGGTTACAGTACATCTCAAAGTATTCTCATTTGTGGCTTTCATCTCTATTTGACAAAAAAAAAAAGGGGGGGGGAGGGAAGGCTCCTGCTTATCTGATTGTTCAAAATTCATTTTAAATCCTATCTTGATAAGGGTATTCCTAAAATAATCTCTCCTTTCCACTTGCTTGGCAAAACGTTTGTGTGCCCTGTGTCCTCTGGCCAGATGCCTCTATGATGTTCCCCTGCTGGGTTAGCGGAAGGGATGTTGTAACTCTAGTCCTTTGGGTAGGAAGAGGGTCTTTTGATTGAGTTAGAGTGAAAACACAAAGGCCATGACACTTCTTGCATCTCACCATTGAACACTCCTCAGGACACGGCAGTTTAGGGGTATTTAGTAAGGAACAGTATGGGGTTGCTACTTACATTTATAGGGTTTTTTACTTCATAATTCTTATATGGTTTGATATTTGATTTAGTCACAATATATTTCCAAGATAAGTAAAAGGCACTTACATATGTCTAATAAAAAGACAGAAAGAGCCCGGCCGGGCGTGGCTCAGCAGTTGAGCGTCGACCTAGGATCCAGGCGATCGGGGTTCAATTCCCGGTCAGGGCACATGCCTGGGTTGCGGGAGGCAGCCGATCAATCACTCTCTCATCATTGATGTTTCTGTCTCTCTCTCTTTCTCTCTCTCTTTCTCTCCTTTCCTCTCTCTGAAATCACTAAAGATATATTAAAGAAAAAGACAGAAAGAAATAATGTAATACAGTACTAATGTATTTTTTTATTAGCTTAAGGTCCATTTAAAGGACCTTATTCCAGAACATAATTTAGTTTGACTGTGGGTGTTTCTTTGTTTATATAAAGTTAATTCTTTTGAATATGTCACTTTCCCCCAAACTGAGTCTATAGATCCGTGTTGTTAACTCTTTTGTTATGTGTGAATGAAAAGTGTTCTCAATGAAACTTGTGTATTTGGGGCTAGAACAAATTAAATGCATTTCATTTTTGAAGACTTCAGAGCCTTTACGTGACTGTCTGTTACACAATGCAAGAGGCGCTCACGCGTACAGGGTGGCCCACACCCGTCCTTCCTTGTTGCTGTAGCACCGTGGGATGCTTATCACTTCACTCGGGCACCGTATTCACGAATATTAGGCAGGCCATATAAACTCAAACTTGTATTTCTAGCTTATTCTCATAGTAGCTTCGTAACCTAGTTTTTAAAAGCAGTTGAATTTTTTACTTCTTTTTATTTAAATTATAAAATTTATGTTCATAAAAATTCAAATCATATGAAGGCATGGAGACTGAAAAGCAAACACCTGCACCCTCTCCCAGGTGACACTGTCCTCTTCCAGAAGTAGCCATCGTTAACAGTTTAGGGAATCTCTTTTTAGTTATTTTTTATATGAAACAATTGAATTCTTTTCTTATATAGTCAGAGGGAAATGTAGGACATATTCAAAATTAGGTAGGAAGGAAAAATGTTTTTTAAAAATCTTCAGATAATGTATTGCCCCCTTGCTAATACCATGGCTTACATTTTGAATAGTGCCAGATCCGTTTAAGTGAAATTTTTGACTTTTCATTAATGTAGTTACCAAGGAAGTGTGTTTAAAAATAATACAATTTCTATAAATTCTTTTCTCAAGTTATGCTTGATAAAGTACATGTTTAATTGTGATCTTTAAAAAAAATCCAACTAACTTATGTTGATCAAATAAGCATAAATCAGAGCACACCTTCGCTCGACAAACTGAGGTAAAACCTCGACGCCCTCTAGTGGTGTCACCTCCATGCTCCATCTCCTGCGACCAAGCCACTGATCTCAGCGGGTAACATTGCTAATGTTAGAATTTTACTTCCCTATTTCATTCATTTACCAAATATTTAAACTTAGACTTAAAACTTTCTGGTGAAAATAAGCCATCACTAAGAAAGCAAGGGACAATAATTTGGGGAGCAATGCCCATTATAAAATATCAAGTAATAACTTTTATCACTATCATCTCTTTCTTACAAGCTATTTGCTCATCTTGACTGCCTACTCTTGGCCACAGCATGACTCTCTGCTATTGAATTTACAAAGACTTAATTCTGTTGTTTAATTTTTTAAAAGCATCTTTTTCTTCGATTTCACTTCTCCAGATTTATCACTTTCCTTACTTCTGACTTCACTCACTTTTCTGAACAACAAAGATTCACTTTCCTGCTTCTCTGCCCCTGGGAATGGGGGCTGCTGGCCTCTTCTGTGTGAAGGTAACAGCTGGACAAGAGTGATGAGCAGCAGAGCAGAGGTCCAGAGCCCAGCAGGGAGCAGCAGGCCTAGCTCAGCTTCTGGATGAGCCATTGACTGTCCATGTGATGATGAACTAGTCCCTTAAACTCTCTGTCCTCATCTGTAAAACCAGAATGATGATAACAATATCCAGTAGGCATAGGACTTAATAAGAAAATCCATGTGAAGGAGGGAGAGCAATGACTGACACATAGCAAGCCCTCAGGAGCTGTCACAGTAATCTGTGAATGAAAATGAGATGAAATGAAAGATTTGAATCCAACCTCTTTTGTCCAAACCAAACATAGCTATTCACTAGAAACAGGTTGGAATTTGAGAGCAGCCAAAGTGTCTAGGATTTGGGAGGAAATTTTATAGAGAGCAGGGATGCAAGCGCAGTGAAAAATGTGATCCAAGTCCCCTCCTCCCCTACCCCCCTGGCCAACTCCTGCGTTACAGGTGTCCAGGGTGAGACTCCAAAAGACACAGCAGAAAACAGCATCTGAGAGAACAAAAAGCTGAGCAAAAGCTTAATTATATAGCTGCCCCCAGCCGCAAAGACTGAAATGTGAGCTCAAGCCAGGAGGAAGGGGTCAGGGGGTCAGGACATATACCCTGGGGTTTCAGTCAGGACACAGAAATGTCACATCCTGGGAGTGAGGCTTCCCTTTCTCCACATTCCCTCCAGCACTTGTTGTCTTATCCATAACAGCCATTCTAACAGGCGTGAGGTGGGATCTCATTGCAATTTTGACTTGCATTTCCCTTATAACTAGTGAAGTTGAGCACCTTTCCGTTTGTTGACTATTTGTATGCCTCCTGTTCATGTTCTCTGACCATTTTTAAATCAGATTTGTTTTTTTCCAGGTGGGGCAATTAAAGTTACATTTTCTTCAAGCCTTTCTTGCTCCAAAGACCATTAATTGGGTTTAGGAAGAGTGTGTGTCCCGCAAGTGGCATCCATCACTTATGATCAGGATCAGAAGTCTCAGCACTTCTGTCCCTGCAGCTTCATGCCAGAGTTGCCAAGGAAAACAACGCAGTCAAGGACTGGAGGGAGCAACAATTTACTCAGGGAGGGAACAGGGACAGTGCGAGATCAGTTTCAGCCGTGAGCATGGGTTTCTAGGGTCAGCAGGCCTCTCCCAGCACCCGCACAGGGCAAATGGCCTGCAAGCACCCCTCTGGTTGTGCAGCAGACCACCCTTTCTCTGAAGGGGATAGATACAGCAGGGGGCTTGCCAGGTGCCACATGACACACATGCTTAAGCAGAACAAGGAAGTGCACGTTGAGTCTGAACCGGGGAGACTGGACCTCAGACGTGGCCACAAGGCCAGCACAGCTGGGAAAACTCTCTGGTAAGGATACGTGCCAGGCCCAAGGCCCATTGTCATGCGGCCCAGTGGGGATCAAAAGCCTGCGTGCAGGGGACTGCCTTTCCCAGCAGATTGGCTCTTTCACAGAAACAAAGACAGTTAAAATTACAAGCCACAGAATTAAATGAGTTAGAAAATATACTTATCATGAGAGTTTTTACCCAGAGGGAAGCAGTATAATGGAAGATACAAAATTTTTTTGATTTCAGAGAGAGGAAGACACACACACACACACACACACACACATGGATTTGTGCACTCACTGGTTGATCCTTGTCTGTGCCCTGACCGGGGATCGAACCCTCAACCTTGGCGTATGAAGATGCTGCTGCTACCCGGCCAGGGCAAAGATACAAAATTTAGAATCCATGTTTTATTTAGTATCTGTGGGTAATTGAGCAATTTTAAAATTTAAGTTCTCTGAACTTTTGTTTTCTCTTATGTAGTTGGAGCTAATACTACCAGCTTCCAAGTAATAACAGCTAAAATCCCTGTCCTAGGACAGGGTTATGAAATAAATGCTAATTGACGGGGTCAATTTGAGTTATACAAGTACAGCTTTGAATTTCTTCATAGGAAGAAAAGTAGCAAATAACGTAGTTGCCTGACAGTTTTATTTAATACTTCAATACTTTACATATCTGAATAACTGCTGAAAAAGCAAATGTTTATCAGTTTTTAAAGAGCTGCACAAAAAGAAAATAATAGGGAAAGTAATGGCTTGTTTTCCAAATTCATTTGCATGTGGGGCCAATTTCATTAAACTTAAAAAAATTATAAGTCTTTGGACCCTGGGCTCTAAAAATAGCAGTTGGAATTAATACTGTTCTTGGATTCATGGTTCAAGGACGTCATTACATTTTGCTCTTGATGTTGTAGATTTAACAATATATGGGTAGAAACATGTAACTTCACACATGGTTTAGACATCAAGAGGCCAATTTATGCAAATAAACTGAAAATTGAACATGAGTACTCCGATATTATGGAACTGTATAACAAATACAAATTTGTTAACTTCCAGAAGGAACAATAAAAAGCAGTATTAATAAAGACTGGTCTTTTGCATCATTCTCAAAAACTCTCCCTCATTTATTTCTCCATCCCCATCACGATCAGCTTCATCAAGCATTTCCTGTAAAACAGAATGTAAATATGATGTGTGAACTCTATTAAAAATGAATAATGATGCGAATGAATATTCCAATATATACTCAGAGAGAAATTTTATTTTAAATGTATTTATGAGTACAATTAAGACTACTCAAATATATAAATAATTGTATATAATTACACACATAAATTATAGTCATAAAAATAAGTAAAATTTACCTGAAGTTCATCATCTGTTAAATTTTCCCCTAGTTCCTTAGCAACCCTCTTGATATTGTTTAACGTTATGCTTCCAGTATCATCATCATCAAATAATTTGAAAGCCTTCAACAGTTCTTCCTTTTCATCTTTTTCACTCTTTAAAAATAGAAACAGTTAAATGTTATCAGTCTTTCATTTATTTATTCCATGAAGCTGGACTTACAGGTCTTTGGGGTGCAGAGCAGTCTCGTACCAGGTGACTGAGCTCTGACTTCACTTACTGCTCTGCCTTTTAAATTTGTGCCTGTGCACTCACATCTGCCCTCTAGGTATTTGCACTTAGGGTCTACTGAAGTGGAAGAGGCAGAGGTGGTAAAGAGGGTGTATTTCTTGTTGAGCCCCCTAATTAAGATCCATTACAAAAATGTGAGCTCCAAGAAAACAAGTAGTTTCACTCAGTGTTCCCAGAATAGTGCCTGGCAAAAACAGGCACTCAGTAAATGTTTGTGGAATTCCATGCTTCACATTGCTGGCCCCGTTCTCTTCACCCATATACCCTACTATTTCCTAGTAAAAACCTCTTCTCCACACTGGACGGTCTTCATCATCACTCCCTGAAAACATCTTTAATCTTGCTCTCCCTGTCTAAACCCCAAACATCTTTAAATTCTATGAAACCTCTGACTGTATTTCTTTGAAAAACACAATCACTACTATACCATTTTTAGACTCATTATGGCAAAAAAATCTTCAAAACTAATGGTGCCAGTTCCTTCTTTGTCGATTTCAGCTATCAATTTTTTAACTTCTTCTTTCTTTGGTTCAAATCCTAAGGCCCGCATTGCAATCTAAAATAGGAAACAAATAAGTTATAATATGCCACAACCTCATTCCTAGCTTTAAAAATACCTATTAATTACTAGATTTTTTTTTTTCTTTTTTCTTTTTTTTTTTTACTATGGACAAGGTATAAACCTAAAGTCAGATCAGCAGGGCTTCCAATCCTAATGTGCCTCAGGACATGTCACTGTCACACCTTGGGCTTTGGCCAGTTTATTTATTTGTTTACTTATGTCTTTTTTCCATCACCATTTATCCCCTCTTTGTCCTCTTCTACCTCCCCCCAATCCCTAGAATCACCACACTGATCCTTAACAGATACTGTCTTGCTAGTGTGAGGCAGCTATCTGCACTGAAGGGACTTTATATCGAGCTTTCAGAAGGCTACTGTTAGAGATTTACAAGACTGCCATCAATAAATACAGTTTCTTAAATGTTTTAGAATTAGAAGTAATGTTAGGACCTTCAATTCTTTTACATCTATGGTTCCAGACCCATCAATATCGAATAAATCAAAGGCCTCTTTAATTTCTTGTTTTTGAGTTTCATTCAGTTCAATTTTTGCTGCTCTTTTCTTCCATTGGTCTGAAGTTGTGCGGTAGTTGGATGCCTGTAATAAATACACATGTGGGTGAAAGATAAGCTATGTGAGCGGAAAAGTTACCAGAACCAGAATAATTGCTGAGATTGATGATGAACTAAGTCTAGTAACTGTAGTATCCTCTTCGCTACTATACAATGAAACCTCAACATTTTACCCCTTTTCCTTTTGCTAATATTTTTGCTTTAGTTATCGATATCTTGGTGGAAAGCCTGGTTCTTTTTTTTTGTTCTTTTTTTCTTTTTTTTTTTTTTTTACCAATTAGGTTTTCCCTTCAAATTAGTGCTTTAGAGAAGGAGAAGAGGCAAAGGCAGGCATGCTAGAAGAGTAGGTATGTCGGAATACAATCGCCAAACTTGAGGCATCTGAAAAGCAACGTTGAAGGCCACCTTGACTTCCATTATGCCTAGGTGTCTTATCATAAACCTTATTTGGTGGGATATGCTTGCTTGGAACATAATACCCTTTCCTACCTTCTAGCATGCTGTCCTATATTGCATAGGCTGAGAAATGAAAAAACGACACTCTCCAGGTGAAAAACTACTCCCGGGATCTGGGGAAGTATACATGTTGGGCCGATTATACATGTGCAGGGAAGGTGCGGGGTCATCTTGCTGCTATGTGCCATCTTCTCCTGGCAAACAAGGTCAGCGTTCTCGCGGGCCGCTCCTGCGGCCTCGGTTCCACCTCTGGCCCCGCTGCGGGGCAGGAAGCAGCGGGCGGGGAAGCAGCCCCCAGGCCCCGCGGCCCGGGCTGCAGGTGCACCGGCCGCGGCCTTCGGGATGCCCAGCCCCCGGCCGCGGCAGAGCTCCTTGGTCCTCGGCCCCTGGTCAGTTAGTTCATCAGACTTTCCCAGAGGCCCAGGCCCTCCAGCTGTTTTTAGCACCTTATTCTTTGTATTGAAGTCCTTCCTGGCTAGACGGGGAACCTGTCTTAGACTGGAGGTGCGAGCGCTTGGCGGGGCGGAGGGGGGGAAACCGAATTGGGGAACCGCTCTTCTGCCCCTAGAGCCGCGGACAGCGCGCTTATTTGGCAACGAGAGGAAGGGTTACTATGGACACTCGAGGATCGTGAAAAGGAGGCGAATAATACATTTCACGAACTAAACACAATTCCGTCCTTGCTTCGGGGAGGAACCTCTGCCCCTTTCTAGCCCCAGCCCTAGCGAGAGGTGGCAGCTGCGCACTCACCATGTCGCCCACAGGCGCCCTCAGCTGCGAGCCTGGCCTCCTTCGCCCGCGGCGACGCCAAGATAAGCCTTCTCCGCCTCCAAGCCGTTGCTAAGGCCGCTGTTGCCAACCTCAGGCAGCCCCGCCCACTCAGCCCCTACTGATTGACAGTCATTTCACCCAATGGCCAGAAAAGGACGCCCTGGGGCCAGCCCCCTCTCCACTATCTACCAATAGGGTTACGGTTTGGCTTTCCCGTCGACCGTTAAGCGGTACTTTCCGTCCGGTTTCTTAGCGACCAGGCCCAGCTGCCCGCCCCTCTCGGCCCCTTTCGCACATGCGCGAACTGCGTGCGGGGCGGGGGGCGTCATTCCCGACGCGCTTGGGCGTGTCTGTGTCCCCCCAGAACCTGTCAGTTAGAAGCGGGCCCTGGAGCCCCCGGTGGAGCTGGAGAACCGAGCGAGGTTGGTAGCGAGCTGCTTCCAGGGACTTCCGAGCCTTTGGTGGAGTCGTTGGGAGCCCCTGTTTGCGCTCCCTACGCTTCGCACCGGGAAGGGTGAGAATGGAGGGCCCCTGGGCCCGGGTGCATCGGCCCAGCTTTGGTTCTCCGCCGGCGGGATGAACCGAGGCGGAGGGGATACGCCGCTGGACCTTCCTCAGCCTCCGCGGTGCCCGGGGCTGAGTCATCGGCCACTTGCCTCCTCCCTGGTTCGCAGGGGTTCCCGCGCGGTGGGCTCCGGCTCGGGGCGCGGGGCGGCGGCGCGGTCTGAAGGAGCGGGGTTGCGGGCAGGGTGGGTCTCAGGGTGCCCTAGAAGCCTCCCTGCATAGGACTGAGGTCATACCTGTGTTCTAATGTGTATTTGCGGGGGAGGGCTTCGGTGCCACCCAGGATCGCTCTCTAACATCTACACCCACACTCTCACCCCCAGCCATTACATTGGCTGAACCCCAAGATTTGGCCGGCGGTCCAACCACATCCAGCCTAAATCCGCGTTCTCGTCGACACTGGTGGCCACATAATCCGTTTGACTCGGTAACGTCCGAGATTTACAAGTCCATATATATCTGCTGTAAACCAAAGCAAATTCTTGTGCAGAGGGCCGGACTTGCTGATTCTGCCCAGTTAGCTCGTCGGGGACCAGCTAACGGGTGGGGAGAGGACTGAGGTGGACCTCTGACACCCTGGTAGGAATGGAGAGGTGATTTTTCTCTTAAAACATATTTAATGCTGTCTGCATGTCATGTACAGTGCTAACTGGTGAGTTCAGAAGGAACCCCGTGTAGAGTATAAGATGAATAAAAGCAAGGAACTCACAGAATGGTGGGGGAGATCAGCACAGACATAAATACAATGGTTGTAATTCAGGGTGCTAAGGGCTTTAGTAGATTTGCGTAGAAAGTGCTTCGGGAACACAGGAAGGAGGCACTAATCCTCACTGGGGCGTTGGAGAGGCTGTTTCAAAAATGTGGCATTTACCTTGGGTCATGAAAGATATACAGCATTTGCCCAGGTAAAGAAAAGGTAGGATATTCAAATCAGAGTATAGCATGTACAAAAGTGAAAATAAGAGTATGTTCTAGTGTGGCAACATCATGGGGTTTATAAGGAAAGGCTGAAGATGAGTCTTATAAATTAGACTGAGGTCAGGTTATGGGACACCTGTGTCAAGCTAAGGAGTGAAGACTTTATTTTCTAAGATAAACAGATAATTTTAGGCAGTGGAATGATCTGATTACATTTGTGCTTTTCAACAATAATTCTGACAACTGAAGGAGGAACCATTTTGGAAGTGATCAAAGGGTCTCAACTAAGGCAGTGCCAAATAGAAATGTGTCCACTCCAAAGGTGCTTGAACCTTACACTTGTGGAGGAGGAATACTGATAGCAGCATCTCTTTAATCTTGGTTCAGTTTTATACTTATATTTAAGATAGCAAATATGGTGAAAACCACTCATTCATTTGTCAATAGTTGGACAATATCCTGGGTGTGTGAGATACTTCAGTGACTAAAATTGCCCTCCTGGGAATTACTTTCCAACAGAGAGAGATAGTAAGTAATAAGTAAATAAGTAAACTATGTACTGTTTTATAAGGTGTTATGTGTTACGGAAAAAAGAAAGTATAGAGCAAATAAAGGACTCCAGAGTGTAGAGGAAAAAGTTTGTGGTGTTGAATAAGGTGCTCAGGTAGGCCCCATTGTAAGGGGAAATTTAAGGAAATATCTAAAGGTTGTCCCCAATAGATTCCTTGCGGAAGAGCATTCCAGAAAAGGGAACAGTAAGAACAGAAACACTGGGGTAGGGAGCCTGCCTTGCAAGTTCCAGGAACAGTAGGGAGGCAGGAGCAGAGTGGTCTGGGGGTAGAGGAGTAGGAGATACACTAGGAGGGAGGAGTGCCCATTATTAGGAAAATGTAACAACTTTGACTTTCACTCCAGTGAAGTGGGAAGGCTTTGCAGTATTTTGAGCAGAGTACTGAAAAGATCTGAGCTAATTTTAAAAAGGGACTCCTGAGTCAGACAGGGGAGTAAAGACTTTATTTTCTAAATTAGAGGTTTTTAAGCAGCGGAGTGGTATGACCAGACTGTTGTTTTGGGAATAGACTGGAGCTAGGCAAACTGTTGGTTTTGACGTGATGAAAAAAAGCTAATTATGTCTGTCAGAATATAATTATGTCTAATTATATCTGTTTACTTTTTTAAAAAATGCAATGCCTGAAAAGCATTGCATATCTTACTATTCTAAGCCAGTACCTCAGACAAGACTAGGCACGACCTTAAGACAAGAATGCTTTTTCTGGTGTCAGAATCCCAGTGAAGTACTAAGTCTGATGCTCTTCTAGCACACTTAGGAAGTTAAAGAAACACTAAGCTGGCAAGTAAAGTTGTTAGGGATCCCAGTGATGAGAGCTGTTTGTGGAAAGCATGTGCTGATCCAGAGCGGAACATGATCAGGTTGTGTCAGTTCAGTGCCAAGAAAAGTTGCTGGAGGTACTTTTCATCTTTGAAATGATCTATTTCACCGTCCCCTTCACTGTCTTTGCCTTTTTTAACTCAGCCTCTTAGAAGATGAGGAATTCTTGTTAGAGTTTTTATTTTATGTTAATTATAGCAAGTTGTAATCTCTTCAAAATAATTTAGGAGCTCTCCTAAACTTAGGAATGCTAAGACCTAAAAAAAACAATTACTGAAACTGGAATAGATTCTTCAAGTGCTGAAACAGATCTCATGAATATTTATTTTGATACCAATTTTTGCTTGTAGATTAGTTAAAATAATTTTATGTCTCCTTTGGGAAACCTTTTTTCACATAAATTAAATACAGATTGTTGGAAATTGCCCATGACTTTTTCATTTTGCTCTAAATTCTCTGACTTTTCCACTCATATAACAACATCTTGTAATTTAGACATAGTTAGAAAAAGGAAACCATAAACAGAGACTCTGACACCTGAAAAAAATGGGCACATCCATATTAAGAGTATGAACAGGCTTGGGAGAAGGTAGGAAGGCTTGGAAGTGGGAGAGGAGTGGAAGATTCTGCAGAAGAGAGGGTGGGCTACTGCCATGCTGGACAGAAGGGCAGCCAGAGGGCAGTATTGTATAGTGTTAATAGCATGGACTTTGGCATTAGACAAGCCTGGGTTTTAGTCCATACCTTCTACTTACTGCCTGTGAGATTTTGTGTATGTTACTTAACTAGCGTTCACTTTTCTCACATACCTGCATTTATTGCCACCTCCTTCAGCCTGCTGACTCTTGCACATTCTTCAAGAGTCATTTCAGTCGTTGCCTTCTGGAAACAGCGCCTGCTGCCTGCCTGATCCTCTTCCCTGTGGGATGGAGTGTTCCTCCTCCAGCACCCATGCCGCTATCATTAATATCCTGATACTGTGTCATTGAACAGACCACATGTAATGGAAACTGAACCTACCAGAAACTCCTCAAAGGCAGGGACTATATTTTAGTGATCTTTTATGAGCATTTATAACCATGAATTGCACTCAATAAAGCTCCAAGTTTTTATTTTATTTGCAGATGATGACTTACAGTGATGGCTCACAGGGTCACAAACAGAAGAAGGCACGTGGGACTTCAGCAACTTTCAGCCTTTGCAGACGCAGGAAGAACTTTCCTAGGCCCAGTGAAATCATCCAAATTTATTGTAGATGAAGAGAGTCACGAGAGTGTGGTAGTCAGTTCGACAGTAAGGCTTCTGGAAAGTTTGGATTTGTCCAGTGCAGTGGGACAGCTTCTCAGTGAGGCAGTTCAAGCGCAACATAACATGTACAGAAATGGGACCAGTACTCTTCTGTTTCTCGTCGGTGCTTGGAGCAGTGCTGCTGAGGAATGTCTTCATCTGGGCATTCCTACGTCATTAATTGTGTCTGGAATGTCAGAAGGCTTGAACTCTTGCATTGAAGAGGTCACTTCCCTTGAAGTACCTCTCCACAATGTCTTTGACCATATAGATGAAACAAAGACATTTTCTGAACTTGAATCTTTGAGTGTCCGTTTATGTCCCTTTCTACAAATCCCTTCAGATACTGGTTTGATACTGAAAGATTGTGATCTTGAAGATGTTGCCTCTCAGTCACTGACCATTTCTAGTCTTTCTGGGAGACCTGTTAAATCAGCTAAACTTTTTAGACCTCAGGCTACAGTTGATGCAGATAAAAACACATCGCAAACCCCTCAAACTCTGAGAAACAGTCTGCTTGCAGACAGCCGCTGCAGGCAGTCAGTGCTGATCCACAGTAGGCATTGTAATCGGGTGGCTAGTGATCTTTGGACAAGCAAACCAGATGGAGTTCTAGAACAACATGGTGCGGCTGCTCCCCAGGCTTACAGATGTGGCGATGTGGTAGAGTTGGCAGTGGGTCTGAGTCACGGAGATCACAGCAGCATGAGGTTGGTGGAAGGAGCTGTACGGCTGCAGCACTGGAATGCAAGCGTGCGCCGAGGCAGCCGCACAGTGCCATTTACGTTCGACATTTCAAGAGTCTTCACTTGCTGTTTGCCAGGTTTACCCGAAACTTTGTCTTGTGTGTGTCCAGGATATGTCACTATTGTATCAATGTCTAGTACTACTGTGCTCGAGGACTTACAGAATCAGCCCCTCCGGGTCATTCTCATTGAGGGTGACCTCACAGAGAATTATCGCCACCTGGGATTTAACAAGTCTGCAAATGTTAAAACAGTGTTAGAAAGCACGAAGAAGCTTCAACAAGACAGCTCCGAAGAACTGTGGTCAAATCATGTAGTACAGGTATTGATCAAGTTTAATGTGAACCTTGTCCTAGTACAAGGAGCCGTATCCGAACACTTAATTGAAAAATGTGTGCACAGTAAGCAGTTGGTGATTGGGTCGGTGAACAGCAGCGTGATGCAGGCTTTTGCAGAGGCCTCAGGAGCAGTGCAGGTAGCCTACATCACACAAGTGAATGAAAACTCCGTGGGCAGTGGGGTCTCTGTCACCTTCTGGAGAAGCATTCCCTTGGATGTTGGAGATGGGATCAGCAGAATGGCAATCATTTTGAAAACAGAAGGGATTAATTTGGTCACAGTAGTGCTCACTAGCCCAGTCACTGCACAGATGCAAGCCAAAGAGGATAGGTTCTGGACTTGTGCCTATCGTCTGCATTGTGCTCTGAAAGAGCAAAAGGTCTTCCTTGGAGGTGGTGCTG